GACAAAACCAGAACTGATCTGTATTCCGTGTCGATCCGCCGACATTAATATCTTTGACAGGAATTTTGACAGACGTTATCTATTGTCGCCTAATTATTGCGAGTCACGTGACCGTTTCTGTCCCAGCCCCACATAAACCTGCCAGCGACAATCGCTACCTAAAGCTTTTTCTTGTTCCTTAGAAGCTTCCCCGTGATGGATACATCCTGTATTTTAGTCGTGTTTTACGACTTGTTACAAGTTCCATTAGCTTGGACCTTTATGAGAGCCGGGTTGGTAGTAGTTCTTAGGAAACGACTGGAATTGACGTAACAATTGGTAAACTACTACAAGAATAATTATATTATTGTAAATAGGCAAAATTCGTAGTGTAGTTGTACACGTTTATCCTCTAATTTGCTTGTGGAAATGTCCTATCTATTCTTTCAAAGTATGCAATTTTGAAATCATTAAGTGCACTAATCAAATTCTACTTTGCTGAAAACCCCCTTTAGCTGTGTCGATGCGAATACTGTTCATCTAATGAGTATGGAATAAACTATGTTTTTGAGTAATTTCTTGTACCTTTGAGGGTCCCCAGGCCAAGACTTGGGTATTTAGGTTTGGAATATGAGGTTTGGAATCATCAGGTTTGGATTCATAAGAGGTTTGGACTAAGACATACAAGTTTCTAATAATATGAGCCTCTTAGAGTTCCTATTCCTGATTCTGGCTAAAGAAATTGCTGGTCTTAGCCAATAACAGCTGCTCAGGTCATCTCACTTAAACCTTTACTCTACCTTTACTTACATTTGTGTCTCGCTCAGCTATGTATCTATCTTCTTTAGTAACGACAATACTAAATGTTGACAAGAACTACGAAAAAGTCTTTCAGACAAAATTGGTTCTTCAGCTATAGGTATACTGTACAATTGAATCGTGTTCATAATGCTTGTGGATAACAACACAAGAGCTTTCACTTTTCCAACTACACAAACACGTTAATCAATCATGTATTAAAACCCAAAGCTACCTCAAGAGCGTAATGTGCGGCGACGCCGGTGGCTTTATGAATGGTCAGGATGAATGGGCAAGTCCGGTCTTGACCGGTAACTGGTGCCAACTGTTGCCGATACCGGTTCCACAACAGTTCCTGCTTCGTGTCGTGCTCGGCCTGCTGATGGAGCGGCTCCAAATGTAGCAGTTACTCAATGTAACATAGTTAAATGTGTTTTAATGTATTGCAATTATGCACACTTAACTTTTCTGTAGAGTAAATAACATATTTAAGATAGGCGAAGATTGGTGGAGCAGTGTCTCCAGCAGTAGCAGTTATTTAAAGTGGCATAGTCAAATATGGTTTTTATGTAGTAAGTAAAATAACGCACACTTGAAATTCATTATTTTCTTCTTGCAAATACAAATTTCTTATGAGTGGAGAATATACTGCAGATGTCTACATAATGTTTGTATAATTTGATGTCGAATTCAATATCATCTTCCAATTCGGTTGCAATCAACTACCTTCAGCATCTGAGTGCATCATCTGGTGAATCCAAGATTTTTGCAAACTCATTCAGCTTCCTCATAAATAGAGAATATGCTCGAGAGAGTATGATTTTTTAAATTTACAAAGTAAATTTAACCGCATTCCAATGCACAAAACAAATCACTCACTCATTTTTAGACGATAATTTAAAGAGGAATATGATTAAATTGCTTTATCAGATCAGCACCCTAAAGAACCTTCGGGTTTAAGATATTAGTAAACTCACTTACCTTTCGCATGAGTGAATAATCTAAGATATGTTTTTGTAATTTAGTAATTTGCTGGAAACTTTCTTCGATGGAAATCTCAAAATTCCTCCTGACACACTTGTTCTTTCAGCCAAGAAGTTGAGGAGGAATGCAATTAACCAACTTCAGCACAGAATGAATCATCGCGTCCAAGATTAATCAATTGATTGCCTGACCTCTCTGTGGCTCTTACAGTCGATGGTCTTGTCTGGAAATTAATTTTACGCCTGTTTACCAATCAATTAATTATAAGCTTGTCGATATCGTAGGCGTGAAGAATCTTTATGGCTTCGAGATGACTGTGAAATTCCTCCAAAGCGTGCAGATCTGATAAAAGTTAAGTTCGCTGTCAAGTTCTTAAAACATTTTTATATCTTGAAGAATCTCAATATTGCACTCAATGACTGAGTCAGCGTGACATTTTCATGGACGGCAAAAGGCATTTTTCATTCTAATTTGGAAGAAGCATGATGTTTCGGCATGCACAATAGAGTTAATATCATAGACGAGAATACTTTTGAGATATGGAAATCAATTACAGTTTTAAAAGTCTGAAGGGAATGACTGATGAGGAATTAGTATGATGCATAAATCTGTTGTTTGGCTAATCACAATTTATTTGTAAGTTCTGATGTGGAGTAAGTCCATACAACCATAGATCTTTTTGGATACTGAGGTAGACAGACATGTCTTCTATATGGATCAGCTGTTGTAGTTTTTTATTGCAATATAATATAGCGCTTCTGCCAATCTTCTCGTGGAGTGTGTCACTTTCAGATAATTTTTCTTCCTTAGTTTTCAATTCTATGGTAGTTTCTGTGACTTATAGATGTTAGAGTTTCAAAAAAGAGTTCTTTTCATCCTTTCATGGTTAATTAGTTGGGTATGATTACTGATTGACAGCAGCACATTCATAGTTTATAGTTCAATCAAACATCACTCGTTTCTATTTTTTAACTGGCCACAGTAATGGGTTGTCAACATCTACCAATAGTCAAATGTATAACTCTAGATATGGCTAATTTGTTAAGCGTAATACGTTTCTCATTTTCAACTTACTCGACAGGTTTCTTTTCCGAACTTTCTTCCAGTCTACTCGAGAATCGATACCACATCCACTCCATAGCTCGCATGTTCACCAAATCAGATTGAAGTACCGAATATCTACTTGCGGTTGTCTCTGCGATCTCGGTCCATACAACACTCGGTTATCTGATTATTCGTACACGCGTGAAAGTTGGTATCTGTTCGACGTTTCTCCTATCTATCATCCGGCGGATTGACGGCTAGGCTCAAGGTTGACAGAACTTGCAGTGCACACACTCACACGCATTCTACAAACACACGCACTCACAAACACACGCACGCATTCACACACGAACCCTACAAATATCAGCACGCGGTTTCTCTTTTTCTAGGTCAAGCTTTTGATCTCGCTGCTGAAGTTTGGTGGAGAGAAACTGAGTCCGAGGGACAACAATCGATGTAGTTCTCCTTTGTCGTTATCACATAGATTTGAATAAAGGTGGTTGATTTTAGGCACGTTGAAAAATACTGGTTGCCTTTTGAAGGTTGCATATCAGTTAGCACATTAGCCCAGAGAAGTAGGGTACTGTATTGGCAAATCCTTGTGTAGATTAATTTAATGATCCTTGAAAGTTCTAAATTCTAGCAGTTATTATTTTGTGTTTTGGTATTTGTTACGTTGGTCTAAAATAAAATGGGCTGTATCAGTTTGCAACGAGGTAGGTTATGTTTACTTACTAATAAAAATGTGTATTTTTTAGCTAATTAACGCTAGACAATTTAACGTTATACACTACCGTTAGAACCGTTCCTGTTCAAAACGAAAAAAAATTGCCATTTGCGTAGGTAAGACACGAAAACGTAAAGTAAAGAATGTCGCATTGCTTTTGTACAGATTGTTTGTAGATTACGTTACAACAAAATACTTCCACGGTTTAGACAATCTGTTGAAACTTCGACCTCAGTAGATGACCTCGTCGTTAATATGAAAATACTGAACGACGTTTTCCATGCGTTTAACCTATCTATCCTCTGCGTAAGGTACAATTAATTAGGCTAATTGAGTTGAAGAATGACCGCTCCAAACTCATCCGAAATAAACCAGTAACTTGTCTGCTAGCATTGACGTCACTTCAACGAATATCTCTGAAAGACCCTTCATCTGAATCACTAGGATCCTACTCTTGTGTTAAAAACCAACAAGTGCACCATAGTAGTGGTTCTTAGAAAAGTTTATTACCGTTCATCTGTTGCTTATGCCGAGGGAGACAGAAGCTACTGTGCTGGCTCGACCATGCAGCGGCACAGGCGACCATAAATCTCCTCTTACAAACCATCACGTTGTACTCGTCCAATTATACCACTTGATTGCATATCTGAACAGCTGATTGTCGCGCTCAATTAACAGCTGTTCGGTAACAAATGGCGGGAAGGCTGCGCGCGGTTCGTGACGGAGCTGGCACAGATCGGCGCAGGCGCGCATGCGCTCCGTGGATCAAGCGATAACGATTATTGTGACCATGGGGAATAGCAGTCAATTATTTTTGTAATTAGGGAAATGTAGGATGAAATATATCTTGAAATTAGTGAGTCTTTTTGAAATAAATAGATTTTGTTCGGAGGTTTTGCGAAATCAATGATAATCAGTCGTTCAATTCCAACATCAGACCCCAATAAATAAGTGATGTACTTCATTGTCATTAGTTTCCTATTAGCATTAAGATTGAACTTTTCCCCCATAATATAGTTAATTTGTTGCTCAGAACCAGCAGTCGTATTTTATCGCAATCAGTGTACGATAATATTTTAGCACAGTGAGGGAAAATCATATTTGCGATATTAGGCGAAACGTCTTCAACTGCCTTATCCAATGCTGTAGCGAAAACGATGAAATCAGCACAGAAAATAAACATAATGATAAATACCATAATTTTTTTCAATCGCTCCACCCCAACATTCTTCTTTTAAAGCTTTCATTGTCCAGACGTAGTGTCCAGTACACTTAATTTAGCAATATACATTGGTATCTTTAGACGAGCACATAAGGTAATATGACAACGCAGAGCAGGGAAACAAGTCAGGTGATTGTCTGCATCTGGCCTGCGCAGCTTACAGACAAATTCCTATCGTTTACGAGCGCCTGTGGTAAGGCACGAGGAATAAACCAATAAACGTTTACGATAGAGAAACATCGCGTCATGCTGGGCATCGTAAACCAACCTCCTTTATTGACGATCAAGCCGATTGCTTACTTTATGGTGGCCGATATGGAGCAGAGTGGAACAGATCCTGGTCAAGTGGTCATACGGCAGGTGCTTGATGTGATTTGTGATGGTTCAGTTGGGGTTTCAAATTGTCCAAGAAATGATTCTCTGATAGGAAAGTGATGTTCATTTTTGTTGTGATTGATCCTGAATGGCAGTAATTAGAGTTGTGTACCAATTGGTTACGTAAACAAATAAAGAGTTACAGTTGGTATAGATTTATCGTGGAAACAAATTAGGTAGTCGGATTAGCTGAGACGTTCATGATTATTCTATTAGGATTATTATAACTTAAATTATCCACGAAAAATAACTGGGTCTACTTCAATGTCTTGCTTCAGAAATTCATACTTTACGACCCAAAAGTTACTACAGTCTGATTGTATATTATATTATTATTATTATTTCTTTCTGGTATATTTAGGTAACCGGAGACACTTTGCACGATGGACGACTTCCACTGAGAGTACTGTTGTGTTAATAAGAATGGAGTACATATTTACATTATTGTGGCTTTATAAAGGTGTAATGTACATCTGTAATACATTGACCCACAATTGACATTTACTTACGTATAAGTTAAGGTAAAACTTTACATGGTCATCAAATAAATTATATCAGTTCCACTTCTTTCTTCAAGGATAAAGTATTTGATTCATTCTACAAAATTGCAAGTTTTGTGACAATACGTTATGTACTCTTGGAATATCTCAACCTACAACTGACTACTTCTCTTTGTTCCAGACGGGAGAGCTGGACGCCTACCTCTGCAAGCAGGAGTTCGACCGTCTGCAGCGACTCGAAGAAGAGGCGGCGGCGGCCGAGGCGTCTTTCGCAGAACTCGACAAACCCAGGAGAGAGTCAGCCTCCACCATCGATGACTTCTTCGTCGACTCCCCCCACTCGCGGACGGGACACCCCAGCATGTCCTACGTGTCGCCGAAGACGGTCCACGGGGTCCCGGAGGACGACGTCTTCCTCAAACCTCCACTCTGGGAGGACATCACCTCCAGCATACAAAAGCTGGACCCGGAGAACGCGGAGATGATTACGGGGATGAACGCACAGATAAAGCTGGAAGTGACGGACGATATGTTGAATCCAGAACCTGTGCTGCATCCTTTGACCATCAAGACGGAAAGGTCCTCGGCTCCTGGTCCCGCGAGCCCGTGCCCGCTCTACCAGAGCTACAAGATGCCCTACCTCCCTAGGTTGCTGTATGCGCCGCCGCCCACGCCGCCCAGCTCTGACCCTGGGTCGCCCGGGGCGGCGCTGCCTCGAAGGACTCCGCCCCCACCCTACCCGGTGCCTCAGGTCATCCACACACACACCAAGTACAACCGCCGCAACAACCCGGAGTTGGAGAAGAGAAGAGTTCACCACTGCGACTTCATAGGTGAGGATTTGGTTTTGTAAAGTTTAATAATTGTATTTTGTTGATTTCCAGGTTCACATAATTATTTGGTATTTAGCATTATTGACTTTCTTGATAATAGTGAACACATGTTCATCTATATGATCCAGCTACCGGCAAATAGAACTTATTTAAGCCTCTCAATGATCGTACTACTTTCAATATTACATTTTCTCTTTTAGTTCTTGGTATTATGTTAGTTAATTTGTTGTAAGAGGTGCTGTAGTGTTGGGTAAATTAACATTTCAGTTTGGCCTGGTTAGAAATATAATGTAAAACAGACATACGACATACGTAAAACTGGCAACAAATTTAATATGAGAATGAAATTTATAGCGCTATCCAAAAAAGCCAACATAGAAAATCTATACTGTAATAGAATAATAGGTTTGATCGGAATTTTAATGTATCAAGTTCGACAGAATACGACTAGAGGTGTATGCTCTGGTGGATAATTTTTACACTATAGCCCTTCATTGAGCAATGCTGTTACAATTAACAAACCCTATTCACTCAATTCAAAGAATGCAAAGAACAATTACTATTTCAAGACCGTATTTCCTTCTTCATCCGTGGAAATAGTACCACCTTTCACTCATAAAAATGCAGTGTTTCAAACCTCAAACACCCCCTGAGTTGTTAAAGCCACACAAATCACTTGCAGGCCAAATTATCCCCCAAGTGACTACGAGCCTATCAGATAACGTCAGGGTCGTAGCAGACGGTCACGGTGTCTACAAGTAGACTACTCCCGACTCAATGGGACGGGCGCCATTCACAAAAACCGTCCACTCAATGAATGAACTGCGCTGCTTCTTAGAACGCCACTGGGTCTTGTCTCTACACTCGTTCATTCATAAGTCGTAATGGGGGTTTTGTTTAGTACGATCACTAGATCAAAGACTTGTTGGGTTTCCTGTTAGTGTCCTGAGTTAATTGTATAATTAGTTTCACTATCCCGTTAAGTGGGTGTTGTAGTTGAAGTCTAAAAAACATTGTATTTTTTTGTTACCTCCCGCTATCTCCGCGTCCCGCCACCTCCGAATTTCAGAGTGACCCCTATAATCCTCGGGTATTACCTGCGTTAAGACTTTCCGTCCTAACCTAACCTAAGCTAAGCTAACCTAACCTAACCTAATCCACGGGTTAAATTTTCATTAAATCTCCCATCCACGGGGCTTCGAATGTTTATGTTTATTTAAGGAGTGTTACAATTGATTTCGTACTTTAAAAGTTTGCACGCAACTGTGAACAAATATTTTTCTTTGATTTTTCAGGCTGCACCAAAGTCTACACGAAAAGCTCCCACCTCAAGGCCCACCAGAGAATACACACAGGTAAGGCTCTTTATTCTTTTTTTTTAAGATGTATAGTTAATAGTTTACATTGCATTTTAAATAACTTCGATTGCAAGTATTATATCTTTACTATTGAAAAATTAATTTTATAACTCTAAATTTTGTTTACAGTGTAGTTTATCCCGAACTTCACAACAGTTTATGCCGACAAAATAGAAAAAGTTCTTTCTTGAAGCTAGACCTACATCAGAAAGAAAATGTCTTGTTTTACCTTGATGAAAAAAACATAATTTTCTTTAATTAATAGGATCTCCAGATTGTGGAACAAACTTTCTCAGCCTTATAACATTCTTAAAAGCCAAATAAGATGAGAAAAGATAGTTTCTACATAAAAATGTACAGTATGTTCTATTTTTGTATGGTAAGACCAATGCATATTTACATACTTTATCAAGCTAATCAAACCTTTTGGAGGGATAGAGTGTTACTGTTACTGACAAAACCGCAAGAGACCTTTAGTAATCCGTTAGTAGATATATCATCTGGGTGCATACCTTCTACTAATTTGGTCCAGTAGATTTTGCGTGATAAAGTGAAAAATCCCCCATTTGTATCATAGTACATTTATTAATTACACCTACTTTTATCCTTTAGGTAACTGTAGGAAATATTAATGACCACTCTGTTCACCTCAATTTCTCATCTGACTCAGCATTGACGCATTCCTAATCGCCCGTGGCACGTTTACCTACTTCCAAAGCCATCCCACATGCAAAACAGTTTCCTGCGATCTAGGAACACCTGTGGACAATTAGTTGCATAACTATAACTACCAACACTAACACTGAGGAACTGGCTGCGGCCGCCGGCGATACTGACGATAATGCCTTCGTGCGACTACTCGACAACTACTCAACTACTCAGTAAAGCTTTATACTCTGTTGTGGATGACGTGTACACGATTCTAACGATTTAAACGTAATTTGAATATTACCTGGTGCAGCGAGTTGAGGTCAGGTAGTTTTAAATGGTGGTTTTGTGTGGTTTAGTAAAATTAGGATTGTTTTTTTTTAATACCATTGTCGGTGTAGAGAAGCTGTTTGGATAAGGATGACGTGTAAACGATTCTATTAATTTATTAACGTAATTTGAGTATTACCATTGATTATTGGATACAGAAGGTATTACCTAAGCAATTTGAGGTCAGTTAATTTTAAAGAGTGGTTTGGTGTGGTTACCATCAGCCCAGCTGTGAATGGGTCGCCTCAGAGAAAAAGAGTCTTCTTTGTGGGGTCAACAAGTACTTTAGGGCTCTATAGTCTGTATGATGGAACCTAACGCCTACTTAGGACTAGCCCTGGCTTCAAACTATTGGTCATTACTCATGTATGAGGTCAAGAGACATGTTATATCATACACACTATAGTGCTCACCAGTTTACGGAGTACCGGTACAGTTCAGTACAAAGTCAATGCTCGTAAATAGTAAGCTTAAAAAAATGTGGTTTTGTGTGGTCACTATAATCCTTACTGTGAAAGAGGTTTCTCGAAGAAGAAAAAAAAACTCTTCTTTGTGGGGTCAACACGTACTCTAGAGCTCTATAGTCTGTATGGTGGAACCTGTATCCTGGCACCTACCTGGGACTAGCCCTGGCTACAAACGATTGATATACGGAGGGTCAAGAGACAGGTTCTACCATGCACACTATAGTGCTCACCGGTGTACGGAGTACCGGTACAGTTCAGTACAAAGTGCTCATACAGTAAGCCTAACAATCCCCTGCAGCCACATTGCCGATAGTTTTCAATCTGTAATCCTCTAATGGGGAAATTACTCCCTAGAGGGGTGAATAAATTCGGAGCCGAAGTGCTCTACATTCTGTGAGGCTGCGTTATTGATTGTTTATTGCTGGTCTTACCTAGCCTAGGGACGTGGCGATTGTTTACAGGTGTTCGAGTTCTTGGGTGGCTCCGGTGTTATAGAAGATATGGGAGACGAAAGGTGTCAGCGTCGTACGTCCTGGAATGGTCCTAGTTTTCCTAAACGGGTTCCCTACAAATAGGTATCCGGAAAATAATCGTGTGGACAGGTTAACTTGTATTTCTTAAACAACTGTACATTTCCTCTAGGGATGGTTTTGATACAAATGGGTGTTTAAGCAGGTTGTCAGGGCAGTAACTCCCCCCTAATTCATAATGTTTTACTGAAAATTCGTAGCAGCTCATATACAGTCGGGCCCCTTTTACCAAACTGAAATACACGTTTATCTTTGCTATTTAAGGTTAGGTTGTCCTTCCAGTGAATTCCAGTAGCCAAGACCACATTCACTTCTAAGTGAACTCTAATTGTATTCGAGATTACATATCTAAATCATCAAATTGCTTTATTTGATTTTATGTAACTCCATCATTCATTGGAGATAAAAGTTTTTAAATTCTTTAATAATTTACAATCGCGTTGTACACACTGAGCGACATTCCGAACGTAACAGTCTTAACAATAGTCCTTGAAACAAAAGGTCTTACGTTTGACATAGTGCCAGAACCATTAGACTAATCACTGCTGATTACAATCTCAAATCTAACTATTGCGAATTATTTATCCTAATATAAACAAAACATGTTCTTGTGTAGCTCTAAAAAAGTAAATTTTGTTTTAATCTACTTAACTTTTTGCTGACGAAAAATATTATAAATTACGCAACTGCCAAAACTTTAAGGTTTCCTTGGACTAATTAGTGCACACACGTGTGCAATTTGTCCCAAATATTGAATAAAATTACTTACATTATTGGCTTTGGATACAGATATAGATCATCGATATGCATGCATATGGACCAACTGTAGCTAGGTTTTACTCAGACAAAATATCAAAATGAGCCTCTCATGGTGCGATATTTTTGAGGATCTACTTTCTTTATCGTTCTCCATCTCCATACCATGATATCATGATGGACTTACAATATGCCACAGCTTGCAATAAGTTGTTCCCTTTATTTATTGCGTAGTTAAAACAGTTATTGTATAAAAATTCAGTAATGCAATTTATTCGATGCCTTATCCGGAACTTTAGAAATTTAATTGTTTGCCTCAAGGTAAGAAGGAGTTGTCTTTTTAGACGAGACTCGAATAATTCTGAAGTCCTCTTTTTTATCTCGAACTTTATTCCATCCTAAACAGATAGATCTTTTCATCCATAGGACCTTTTTGTCACAACAGCAATCATATGGCGAAAAGAACAATATTATTTCCAAACAAGCACACTCTTTCAGCCGTTTAAGTAGGCCTAAATTCAACACTACTACAGCTGATCCAAAGATCCCCAGTATCCATAGCAACGCCCACATCACTGACCCCCCACATGTTCAACAATGACCAGTCAGAAAGTCAAGTCACCTGATCCTGAACTGAACGCTAAGCTGACGTCCAGGATGGATGGTACAGATGTCCTTATGATATTTAAATACCACAGACAATAGCTAATTACCAGCGATGTTGATGTTGAACAGATCACCTTCAACATCCCTTCAAACAATGAGCGTGGGAGTCGGGCTCATTATACACTTCAGATTGATTTTCTCTTTGTGAATTCATATTGAGCCTTTCACAAGACTCGGTTTTGGTGTTTGGTTTTGTGATTTGCGGTTTCGTCGAGTTTGCATTTTTGTTTAGCTTAGAAAACTGTTTCTTTGTGGATTTGTTGGTATGCAATTTTCGATTGAGATTTTTGTATTTGCTTGGCAAAGTTTTCGGTGTACAAGTTGTACAAGTTGAGAGTGATGGGGTAATTATTTTCAACTGACAGGAGATGACTAACCAAAACATTTAAGTTTGCATAATGTGAAACGTGATGAATGTTCTGAATTCTCGATATTAGTCACTTTTTCACTTACACACTTACTTAATCAATTTATGAAGCCGGTCGCTTACTTTCATGTAGACCCACGTGTTTTAAGCTGATAACGAATATAGAGTGGGTGTAGAATTGAGTGAGTTGATTTTAGTAGCTCTGTTACTAAGACATGGTGTTCCTTTTGCTAAGGTCGTATGCAAAGTCCAATGATCATTGAAAGGTGGATCCAGATTCAAACCATGAATGAAGCTTCGGTGTTTTCTCAGGATCGAACCAGTGTCCTTTTGATCAGGAGGTGAGCACTTTACCCACGACTTTAACATGGTAACTCCTCAGTTGCTCAAGGCTGAAGGAAAACTAGAAACCTTTAAACTTTGAGTCCCAGTTTGAGTGTTTTGAAATGTCAAACTGACATGGAAGATACACTGACGTTACAGAAGATAGAATGTATCATCATAGCAGATCCAATAAACCTTATATGATACATTCCCGCTATCTTCCTTGTTACTCTATGGTGTTGGCGCTGTATCAGATCGGATGTCTGCCATACCACCTTCAAGGACTGTGACTCTTATCTACAGTGTCTAGTGCATGTCTGCTAGCCCTTATCTTTTAAGGACATTAGGTTCACGATGGTTGGATTATCAAGAATAATTAATATATCGTTTAATGTATACATGAAGGAATTTGATTTACTCAATATTTGGATACTGTGCTCACCTATTACAGTAATCAACAAGTGGCTGGGTCTATTGTGACTGTAGCTTTTTGATGGTTCGAAACTGAACAGATGTCCATCATTGAATTTTTATATGGTCCAGGATAGAGAAACTGCTTGTCTTAGTCAGTAACAAAGCTGCACAGGTCATCTCACTTTATTCTACCCAAAATCTCACATATTCAGGTTGCTTAGCTGGGTCAAGTTTCCATAAGCTAAAGCATTTACTGTACATCCCTCTGATTATAATACTGTATGAGAATACTAATACTACCACTCAGTGTACACGGGAATTCATACAATAGGATTTCTGTGTAAGAAAGTGTTTTCACAAAAGAAAGCCTACTGAACCGCTAATGAGTATCAATGAATGTGGAGGCAAACTAATGCAGAACGCTGTGTGTTGATCGTGTACAATTTGCGGCCTCGCGGAGGTCCGCCCTGGGTGCTCGGCTGCCAATGAGCGCAC